GATTTCCTTCCCACTCAAAGGCTTGGTAAAGCAACCAAAAAAGAACAAAGCCTCTTCCACTTATTCCTAAAAAGGACCATTTTGGGAAGGCTGCTCGCCTTCCCATTTTCAGGAGGAGCCTTGACCTCTTCTTCCCTGACTGCACGGATGGCATCTGAGCTAATCTGGATATCCAATGACCCTCTTTGGGTTCATCAGTGGCTCCTCAACAACAAAAAGCTTATAGCAGCTCATGTACTGGTTAATGAACAGATGATCACAGGCCTCTAAAATCCTCGTGTCCTTAAAAATATCCAATTCTGGTAATTAAAAAAAGTCAAGGCTGGGGATTTAGCTTAGTGGCATAAGTGCCTGCCTGACAGGTCATGAGTTCAATCCCCAGTACCAAAAAAAAAAAAAAAAAGTCAATAATATAGAGATTACAGGATTTTCAAGCTGTTAATCACACCATAGCTCTGATGGGAGCCCTTCAACCACGATTGCCCAGTCCCATAACTATTCCTTTACATTTTCCCTGCATAGTGGTTGATATAAAAGGCTTGTGTATTTTTTTGTTTTGTTTTGTTTACTATTCCTCTCTACCCTAAAGATAAAAAATGTTTTGCCTTAGTTTACTCCCTATTAATCATCAGGCTCCTACACACTACTTCTGATGGTGTTGTCTGCCACAAGAAATGGGAAGAGTTTGTGGCTGCAGCCATTCTGTCAGTCTGTCAGGCTCCTCCATCTACTTATCCATTACACAGATGATATTCTTCTAACACATAAATGGTCATCAACTTTGCATCCAGTATTCATTCAATTAGATAATGCATCTCATAATGCAAGTCTAGAAGTGGCCCACTAAAGGTACAAACTATGGTATCCTTTTCATATTTGGGAATGCATGATTTTACTCCTCTCTTTGACACTCTTGGAAGGGGGACCCAGACCCTACCTCTCCTAGAGCACTTACATCTGAGAATAAAACTGCCTTGGATAAAGGTAATCTGGCTCTCTCTATTGCTCAACTCTCTAGAGTTGACTCATCTTCACTAATGTTTTTAATTATTTTCCCAATTCAACATATGTTCACCAGGGTCCTTTGGCAGTCTCAGGGCCCTCTACAATGGCCATATATGCCACGTGCTCCATATAAAACCATCATTCCCTTTTGGAAGGGATGCTGTGGCAGGACTCATCACACATGGGTGGATGCATGCTATTCAGCTTTGTGGATGTGAAGTGCAAGTTATTATTTTTCCCTTCAGTTCAACAACAGTGCTTATGGCATTCTCATCCTCTTAGCAAACTGCACTAGCTAACTTCTCTGGTGTTACTGATTGTCATTATCCTTTAGATAAATTAACTGAATTTGCTTCCCTCACACCCATTGTTTCCCTTCAAAAATTAACTCTGTTCCCATAGCTGGAGGTGTCTGTTTTCACAGATGGCTCCTCCTTGGGCAGGGGAGGTTATGTTACAGCCTCCTCTTCTCAAATACAGAATATGAGTTTTTCTTCTGCACAAAAGACAAAATTACAAGCTGTTATATAGGCCTTACAAGATCATTCACCCACTCCAATTAACTTTTTTCAGACAGTACTTATGTTTGCAGTTTGGTGCACCACATTAAAACTGTACCATTCACACAAACCAGTCAGATTTTTTCATTTCTTTCACTCTCCAATTTGCTGTTCATTCACATCATGTCCCCTGTTTTACTGGTCATTTACATTACAGTTGCCATGGCCTCTCACTGAGGAAAATGCTGCAATGGACAGACTGCTAGCTACTGTCACTGTTATTCCCCCAGATTCCATTCAACAGGCTTCTGTTTCCCATGCTACCTTTTATCAAAATGCTTCTTCCTTATGCGAATAGTCCCATTTGACCCAAAAACAGGCGCAAAAAGTTGTTAAACAATGTTCCTGATGTGTAATACACTTTCCCCCACCCTTTATGGTGGTTAGTCCCCAAGGATTACACCCCAACCATCTCTGGCAAATGGATGTCACTCACATTCCTGAGTTTGGCTCTTTATGCCAGGTCCATGTTTTAGTACACACTTCCTCAAGGTTTATTTTTGCTTCTGCCTGCACTGGTTAATTGGTTAAAAATGTCACTGCTCACTGTTTAGATGCCTTTAGTACTCCTGGCTGCCCACGGGCACTTAAGACTGACAGTGCTACAGCCTATACAAGTGCTGCCTTCCAAAGGCTTTGTAAAACTTTTCACATTTCCCTTACCATGGAAATTTCTTATAACTTTTTTTTCTTATAGCTTTTTAAAAATCAGTATTGGGGATTGAACTCAGGACTACATGCTTGCAAGGCAGGTGCTTATGCCACTGAACTAAATCCCTAGCTCTTATAACTCTTAAGGTAAAAAAAAAATGTTAAAACATGTTCAACATATGTTCAAAATTCAATTACAAAAACAAAAAGGGGAAACCTGCCCAACAAAATTCATACCTCATAATAGACTTCACCTGGTGGTATATACTATTAATTATTTAAATTCTGCTAACAATAGGACTACAGCAGCAGAAAGACAGTTCAATCAAGTACCCTGGCAAGCATAAGGTACTGAGTTCAATTCCCAGTACAAAAAAAAAAGAAAAAAGAAGGAAAGAAAGAAAACAGGAAAAGGAAAAAAAAAAGATCTTCATGTTGGACAATGGAAGGGACTTAGCCCAGTGCTAATTGGGGTCAAGGGTTTGCTAGTGTCTTTCCAGAGAATGATAAAGGGCCTACCTGGGTACCACCACATGCTGTCCAGCTGTATCATGGACCCAGGCATGGAGAAAAAGTTGATTCCAACTTTCAAGAAGCAGATGCTCAGTCCTGTGATAGGGATGCCTTCGAGACTGCTCTACAGCAGAAAACAAGGATTTGGCTGGATCCAACCTTGGGCCAAATGAAGGAGTTGACCCCAAATGCCCAGGAGATAGTGACCAAATATGGGAATCAACAGTGTGAGTGAGTGGTAGCGTGCTTGGAAATAAATGAGCTGAAAAATACATGAAAAAAGGGCATACAAAAGTTACTAATATTCTTAAAATAAAAGACAAAAATTATATATTAGATAATATACAAAGACAAAAATTATATATTAGATAGATAAAAGATTTTATTCCTTTCAAATTCTTCTTATAAGAGATCTCTGCTAATCAACCAACAGATATTTCTGAAGAGTCCGTTTACAATGACAAATTTCTAAAATTGTAAGAAAGTTATTATAATTCAATTTGGTCAAAAATATATTGAGTGCGCTCTGATTTTATAAGATGTCTGTCTGTTTGTCCAGCCTGGTAAACTGTGTATTTATTTGACTACTGATCTTTTCTGTGATCAGCTGTTTTATATTTGAGCTCAACAATTTTTTCTCTTTTCTTCTTTACTTTTACATTTTTGGATCATTTGTTCATAATTTAATATGATTCATAGACTTAAAAAGTGTGCTTCCACCTGGGTTGCCAGCTGGTAAAAACAATATCAAATTCAGGTTTCTGATAGGCCATCAAAGTTGTTAAGATAATTAAACAAAAATCCATTAGAGTGGGGAAAAATTGGGACAGGATTCCAATTAATAAAGCAGCTGCCTGAAAACATTATCTAGTTCTTGTTCAATGATAGGAGGCCCCAATGATCTCCATTGCCTTTCAGGAGACACCCTAATACATGTTATTAAAATATATTATTATAATGTGTTTACATCACTCATCCATCAATGGATTAACTTTTCTAGACAATAAGATTTTTGATTTGTGATCCTCTGGTACAAAGGTTTTCATATGGCTGTGACAACTGATTGTGACTGTTATAGTTTTTGTAATGTATTAAATGTATTCATGCCTGCAGATATGTGGGCCTTCTAAAGTGTACAATTAAGATCACTTACAGTGATAGGCTATTCTTCCAGATTTAAACATCTTGCTTTAATGAAAACTTACATCATGTACATCCCATTAAAGGACAAGTTAGGTAAAAGTTTATTATTAGATAGAGATGATTAAAAGGGTTATTCTATGTCAAAATGAAAATTTAAGAATGTTACAAAATGTCATATGATTGTCATGCTTCAATAATATGTATGCCTTTTGATTTTTAATTTTCTGTGTAGTGTAATTGTTAACAGTGTATAGGGGTTCAACTATTAGAACATCGATAGTTGTTAGAAAATGACAGTTCTATTTTATGTTCTAATATGCTTGATATTTAGATAAGATAGTAATATTAAGTTTAGTGCCTTCATTGCAATGTAGTATCATTAATCTCATGATGTTCAACAACGAGGTTTGGAGACCAAAAACTAAAAACACAGATGGGCCAGGAGGACAGCCAATATTTTGGTCCCAGCCCTTTGAAGTCAATGAGGACCCAGGATGCAAACAAACCTCTGCTGCAACATCCCCTAATGAGTCTCCAGACTTCACACCAAGGAGATCGTGGGACTAAGAGGGAAGTGATTTGTGATGTGTAGTGTGCCTAAAGAAAGTCACCAGGAGGAAGAAAAATCTGTCAAGCTCCCATAAAAAGCAACTCAGTCAACAATGGCCATGACTCATCCAGACAGCTGACACTAACAAATACTTAAGAGGTGCTGTCAAGGGTCTACGGTAATTGCTGAGGAAGCTTAATTGACCTTGATAGACAGCAAAAAATTACTACAGGTTTCACTTTAACTTGGACTTAAACATTCAGCAGAAAACTATAACCACAAGAAAAAATAAACGGCCTGTAGAATCCTACAAACCCAGCTCCTCCAACTTCAACTGATCACCCACCACTTACAACTACAAAACAGAGAAGGAGGAGGTGTAGGGAAGCTAAATCTGGAAACTGATCACACATGAGGGGGTGAGACAACGCCAGTCATAAAAGCGACTGTTCCAGTCCAAAGTTGCTAGGCAAAAGGGTGTCACATGACACCAACCTGCAAAAACAAATAAATAAACACACTGTGGTGGCTGAGCAGTTCCTTTTCATCTCAGCTGGAGAGAGGGCTCCACCTGACTTCAGCTTTCTGTGTACTGTCTGTTATCTTTATTTCTCCATCCTCTCACCATCCTTCTTCCTTCACCCCTGAACTTCAAGAGCTATGCAGGACATGGCGCACCTGGACATCATGGGTGAGACAACTCAATTACTTGTAGGTACTGGGGCAGCTCGTACTGTTTTAGTTTCCTTCTCTGGCAAACCTTCCTCTAGCCATAATTGGGGTTGAAAGTAAGCTTCCTTACTCTTGCTCTATGTCACTTCGAAGGCCAAATGTTTAACCATGAGATCTTAACTGTCCCAGGTATCCTGCTCCCTTAGTAGAAGAAATTTACTAGCAAAATTGAGGGCAATTCTGAAATACTGGGTAAGACCAGAGCAGATATGACCCATAGAAATTGTCAGGTATCTCTAATTAGTCAAAGGGTGGATGCTGCTGCATGGTATCATGGAATACCTGGTAGGCAAATTCAGCTATGCCAGTAGTTATAAAACTAAAACACCCCAGCCAATTTTATAATTGAAAGCATTATCCAAAGAAGAGGTCTCTAGCCTCTCAGACAGCTTTCTCAAATGTGGTTTTCTGTAGCCTCGCCTGTGCCCCTGCAAAACTCCCATTCACCCGTAGTAATGCCTTCAGGAGACTATAGATGGTACAAGAGCTCCACCTCATTAATGAAGCTGTAATTCCAGCTGACCCTTTGGTGGCACAGCCAAAGACAATTAATTTTCTCTCAAATTTAAGGAGACATGAATTTGTTCTCAGTCTTATACCTTAAAGATGCTTTCTCCTCTATTCTCCTCATCTGGATTTCCAGTTTCTAGCTTCTCTGGGATGGGAAAATCCCATTTGAAAGAAAAAACAGCAGTATACTTAGTTCTCCCACACAGATTTAGAGGTAACCCTCACCTTTTTGCTTAGACATTAGAAAAAGATTTAGGAAACCCAGAGAACATAAACAGGAAACCAGCCTACAGTATGTAGATGATATTCTAATCTGCAGCCTATCTTGGGAGTTATCCAACCATAATACTATGTAAATCCTCAGTTTTTTAAGTTAGAAGGGATATAAAGTCACAAAGGGGAAAGGCTCAGTTATCCCTCCAAAAAGTTTCATACTTGGGATAAATTCTTATAGCTGGGGAGTAAGAGCTGTCCAGGGGCCAGAACCAAACTACTTGTGATCTTGAGCCTCCTGCCACCAAATAATGGCTTCATTCCTTCCTGATACCTAACTTGGGATTAATTCAAAGCCTTTATATGAAGCCTTTATATGTCAAAGATCCTAAGTTTCTGCCCCTAGAATGGGCAAAAGTGACAATGCCTTTCAAGAAATAAAACATATCTTTACTCAGGTTCAACCACTGGGAATATCTGACTTAAGAAAATGTTTCTGTTATGATTTGTGTCTGGATGTTCTTGCAAAACTTCATGTAGTCATGGAGAGGCAGGCTTTTTGGAGGCAGCTGAATCTAGAGTTTGTTATTGGTTCACTGTCTACTGCTGAGATTGGCTATGTAAGTGCTACACCGACCCTATTATAGCCTGCATACAATATAAGGGAATGAAAGAGGTTTACTCCTACCCTTTTTTGCCCTTGTTGCTTTTTTTCTGCCACCATGAATGCAAGCCCCTCTGCCATGCCACCCTACCTTGGACCCAGCTGATTATGGACTGAAAGTGCCACAAAGTGTGAGCTAAATAAACCTTTCATTTCTTAATTTTAGGTGTCAGGCATTTTGTCTTGGCAATGAGAGATAAGTAACTAAGACACTTTTGCTTTGGGTCTTGACTCAAAGGCCAGTTCAAGAACTCTGCCCAGTGGCATATTTTTCAAAAAAGTTGAACAGTGTGGCTGCTGGATGGTCACCCTGCCTGAGGGCAATTGGCACCTATAGCTATGCTAATAGAAGCTGAAAAACTAACTGTAGAGGAAAAACTAGAAGTCATGACTCTCTATCAGACCAGGGATATTCTAGAGAGGAAAGGTTACTTGTGGTTAACAAGAATGGTTTACCAAGTATCAGGACATATTCTCAGATACCCCTGAGATTACTATGAAGAATATTCTACTCTTAATCCTCCCCTTTGGTGCCGATAGGTTCAGAAGTTACACATTTTGTGAAGAGGTGATTTCCTAGACCTATACAAGTAGGCAAGACATCAGTGACTTGCCTTCTAAGACCCTGAGAAGCTGTGGTTCACTGATAGATGTAACTGCATTCAAAAAAGACACTGAAAGGCAGGTTATGGCTGTTGTCAGTTTACAACAGGTCACTGAAGCCACAGACCTTCCCCTAGGCACCTCTGCTCCAAAAAGCAGAGTTCTTGGCTCTTACATAGGCATTGGTGTTATGATAAGGTAAAAAGCTTATTATCTATACAGGCTTTCTGGTACTGCATGCCCATGCAGCAATCTGGAAAGAAAGGGGCTTGTTAATGAATAAGTAATCATCTATAAAACACAAGCAGGAAATTCTACAACTCTTAGAGGCAAACTATCTTTGTCTTTTTTTTTTTTTTTTTTTTATTGGTACCGGGGATCAAACTCATGACCTCACGACCGACTGCTTGCAAGGCAGGTGCTTATGCAGCTGAGCTAAATCCCTAACCTGAGGCAGTCTATCTTCTCAAGCAAACCACTTTTGGAAGGAACAAACAATACACATGTTGAAAGTGTCTTTTGGAAATCAAAAGGGTAATAGGGAGGTAAGAAGGACAGTTTATACCCCTCAAGACCTCAGCCTTAGTCCCAGTTCCTGAGGAATCATTAAAGTGGTCCTTCCTTAAGGTATGCAATGAAATGTTGTAAAAACCCTACATGGGAAATGGTCAATGGAATTTTTAAGAGGACTAGGACTAATGGCAACACTCAACAGGTCTCCAAAGCTTTCCCACCCTGTGCTTACAAGAACCCTGGTAAGCACCAACCACCTACTTCATTAGATCCTGTGCAGAGGAGAGGGACATACTCCAGGGAGAACTGGTAATTAGACATTACCCACACACCACCAATTAACAAACACTGGTCCTAACTGATACCTTTAAAGATTAAATTGAGGCCTTCCCTACCTGTGCAGAAAAAGCTACAGCGGTAGTCAAGGTGCTCCTCAGAGAAATCATTCTGCAGTTGAGGCCACTTTAGTCCCTTTGGAGTGATGAAGAGCTTTCTTTTACCTCTCAAATAACTCAAGGTGTGGCAAAGGATTTCAGTATAAAGCCTACATGGAGACTTCTGTCTTCTAGAGCGGTTGAGAGTCCCAGTCAGACCCTAAAGCAAGCTTGGGAAAACTCTGCCAAGACACTTGTTAGCCTTGACTCTCATTGCCAGTGGCTCTCCTCAGGGCTCAAAACACCTCCCAAACTGGGTTAATATGAGTCCACTACAGATGTTTATGGGAGGTCCTTTCCATCTTCTGATATGGTAGTAGGTCCAGGGACCACAAAACTCTCACAATATCTGATTAAACCAGGTCAAGTACAACAGGCATCTGAGTGTATGGGAAGAGTCCTTCCAGCTCCTAGCCCAGGACCACCACCTAGTGACTGCCCTGGAGAGCAAATACTCATTAAAACTTGGAAAGCAGGGACTCATAGACCACCTGAAACCAAAATGGAAGGGCCCCCTTTCAGTGATCCTTGCCACACCCACTGTACTGGAGGTGACAGAGACAGACAGCTAGATTTACCTTTCTAGTACAAAGCCAGCCCTACTGGAATTGTCTAAACAAAAAGACCACCCAAATAAAGAAAGTACTCCTTTGAACCTCTGGAAGACCTGAGGCTCCTTTTCAAAAAGTAAGACTCTAGTACAGCTCTGGTACAGATAAGTAAATGGGCACCTGTAATGAGGTTCCTATTTTTAATCAGCCCCATAATCTAGGTAATCTTGCTAAGGTTACAGCTCTCAGGTTCTCAATAATTTATCTAACTTCTCTCTTTGCCACACTTTCTCCCCAAAAGGAAGCATAGAAATCTGACCTATTCCTCATATTGGGCTCTACATCCCCAAGCTACTAGTAAAGTTCCTCACCTGACAAATTCACCATGATTCCTCCCACTGAATGGCCAGCTTGTGTGAAAACTAACATTCTTCTCTGATACACAATGGTCTTCTGATAACTTTTCTTTGTCTTCAGCCCAGCCAGTGAGTCAGAACACCCCAAGATAGTTGGAGAGCACATAATTCTCACCAGGTAGGGCCTATCATCCCTTCAGCAGTAAGTACCTATATGAAGATGGAGACCTCCACTCTCTCCCTTTATGGAACATGTGTCTCTCAAGGGAAAATGAGGCAGGAGGATGGGGTGTGGCAGACTCCCTGGGGACATAGATGTGGCCTGCTAATTACAAAATCTAAGGACACATACACAGAGTGGTTCCCAAAGCCCTGCCACATGGTCTTCTTGCAAAAGTGCAAGTAGGTTTTCAATAGGATGGCCTACACCTGACACCAGCCTGGAGAGAGGGTGACACACTGAGCTCTCCAGCTACTGTGTTCCCTCATCATAGCCTGCTCTCCCACTGTACAATGTACTTATTTTCCTACCTTTTCTTGGTCCAAACTTGCTCTGCAGAGCTGTTTCTTTTTTTTTTTTTGCCTTTAATACGTATAAAACCTGGCTACCGTTTGCATTTGTCTTGACTACTTTTTTTTTTTTTTTTTTGCTTGTGTGTTTGTTTGTTTTTGTTATAGGGAATTAAACCAGGGCCTTGTGCTTGCCAGGCAGGAGCTGTGCAGCTGTGCCATATCCCTGGCCCCTGTCTTGACTACTACTTTGCATAGGGTAGAGAGAACCTAGAAACCTCCTGAAAGATTCCAGAAACTCAGAACTCAGTCTTAAATGTCTCAATGGTGGGGCCTAGACAGCTGCAGGAATCCCAGGGCTGAAAGAAGAGAGTGACAAAATTTATTTTTATATAATTAATTTTTTCCCACCCTTTGAAACTTTCTATTTGTGTGTTTAATAGTGTACCTATTCTAAAATCATAGGGAAGGTAATTGTTCAAGGAAGGATCTATAATTAGAAAACTGTGGGCTTTCCTGTACTAAGCCATGAGTCCCTCAAAAGGCAGGGCCTATGGACAGCTTCTGCACTGCTACAAACAAGCCCATGCCCAGGCCTGACCCATGCAGGACCTCAATCACCACA